CTCAAAAAAAAAAAAAAAAAAAAAAAAAAAAAAAAGAAGAAGGGGTCCTGGTAGCTGAGAGAAAACATGATATCCCCTTTCTGCATAGGTTCTGATCCGTTTCCATATCCAGAGGAATGTGATCGTGATCCCCAAGTCTGTCACACCAGCACGCATTGTTGAGAACATTCAGGTAAGATCTTGGCTGGTCGGCCCTGGTATTCCTCAGTGGAGTAGGGGACATGCGGACCTCTCACTAGGCCTCTTAATGTCTGTGGGTCTCCTCCTTTCCCACCATCCTATCATTTTCCAGCCCAGGGAGCTAACCTCAGTAGAGTTTAGATGAATGACCCATGGGCTAACGACATGCTGGGAGCAGTGCCTGGTGAAGCCCTGTCTGGTCTGAGCACCGCTGTGCCTCACACTACTGAAAAGACCCTCAGTTGTCCCTAAGCAGATAGGTCCTGGGCCACACACAAGAGCAGACTGTCTTGGCCTCCCTGCTCACCTCCCGGCAGCAGAGGAGGTGTGATCTGTCCTTAGAGAACTGTCCTTTGGAAGGGCCCATCATGGAGCACAGGGCCTGTCCACACCTGGGGTTTAGTGCCTGTGAGCCTGGTCTCCCTTCCTCCGGGAACACTGAACACTACAAATATTGCAGTCTTTGCATAGGATCTAATTTCGGAAATTGGTATCCCATGGATATAATGGGAAAAACTCCTGTGGCCAGTCTGTGCTGTGAATGTGAGCTCACTCCCTGCTAGAATGGCTGGCAGTCTCCAACCACAACAGTAACTGCCTTACCGATGATGTATTGAAATTTCCACCTTTCCAGGTCTTTGACTTTAAACTGAGTGATGAGGAGATGGCAACCATACTCAGCTTCAACAGAAACTGGAGGGCCTGTAACATACAGCAGTAAGTGGCATGCAGTTAACTAGGAGGATTGCCAGGAGTTTTTCTAAACTGGTAGAGGGTTAGTTGGAAGGATTGGAGTGCTGCTGGGACTACTTTTGGCTTCGAATACTATTTTGTGAGCAGTTTTGAAAGTTAAAATTGGGGTACCTGGAAATCACTGTGAGGGACACCTATCTAATTGCTGCTCATTGTCTAAACTTCTGGATGTGGAGCTAGAATTGTAAGAGAAGATATGCTATCAACAGGTAGGAGGCAGAGCATTCATTTATTCATTCATTCAATAAATATCTAATGGTCATCTATGTGCCAGGCATTTTCTGCATGCATGGGTTATCATACTGTACAAAGTTCCTGCCTCCACGGGCTTAGGGAGGGAGGGAGGGAAGAAGAGAGAATAGAGATAATTCAATTCAAAATATATATGTCGGGCAGTAACAAATGCTAGACAGAAAAATAAAGTAGGGCGAAGTGGATAGGAAGTGGTGGGTGTTAGTGTGACCGATCCTTTGTATGGGGTGGGTCAAGGGAGGCTTTGCTGTGAGGGATATGCCAAATAGACATTTAGGTGAAGAGAATTCTAGGCAGTGATAGCAAATAGCAGGTGCAGGTGCAAAGGCCCTGAGGTGAGAATGTGTTTAGAGCATTCAAGCAAGAAGGCCAGGGAGGCTGGATGCAACAATCTCCAAATGCCTCCTAATGGAGTAGTAACTAAAGTAAAGTAGTAACTTTACTTTAAATCTTATATAAGTGGTTGAAGAAATAGCTTTCACTCTGGCTGGGCAGACATTCTAAATCATATCTTTTCCATCAGTATTTTATGATTAATGTAGTCAATTAAATATATCAAAGATAGTTGTCTGACATTTATTACTGCCAGGTCTGTAATTCAATGACAATTTGAATCCCTTCCAGTGTTTCTATAGCCAAAAATGATTTTTCACCTTTTAAAAATGGTTTTAATAACTCAAGCATTGCTTGCATGTCATGATATTCCATATCTATCCTGCCCACCCCTATGGGACTATCCCCCAAACTAAACTGCTTACCTTCCTATGAACATCATTTCCGGAGGAAGCAGTGGTGGGTGGGCTCAGGAGTAAATCCACCAGGCTTCAAATCCAACTCTACCACTGGTTTATTAGCTGTGTGACACTGGGGACATTTCCTAGTTTTTCCAAGTTGGTTTCTTGACCTATAAAGTAGGATGATAATACTGATTACAGCTGACATCCATTGAACTTTAGCTTAGAATGTGCCAGGGTCCCGAACCCTTTGCCGGAGCTATGACCTTGTTTAATACTCATAACAATCCCTAAGCTGTCAATTCTGCTGTTGTTTCCCACCTCACGATGTTGTGAGAGTGGATTGGGACAAGCCTTATAAGGCACCTTGTCTAACACCAGGCTTACTGAGTTGTCATTCCGAGTTTATTGTGGTGCCCTGGTCACTGCCTGCCCTCCTTCCTGGCAAAGCCCTTATATCGATTTGAGAGAAGGTCAGGGTGTGAGCACCCTTCTTGTGTTCTTGCAGGGAGGAGGCTGAGAGAGCATGAATACCATAGAATCCACTAGAGAAGAATGCCTTCTCAACCAGAGTTGTTGCTTGTATGGAACATAGTTTCTCTCTTTTTTTTTTTTTTTTTTTTTCTGCAGCTCCGTTCATTTGCAGGAACATCCCTTCCACGCAGAATATTGAGGTTGACTCTCCTGGTGACGTTACGTAGGGGATTCTCTCTCTTCGCTGAAGTGTGACTATCTCCACTCAAGTTCTATTTTAGCCAAGCTTATCTGAGGTCACAGTGAACTTGGTCCTGTTGTAGGACAGAATCAAGGTGCTGTTTTAGATTTTTATTTCTGTATGTTCAACTAGGATCAGAATATCACAGAAAAGCATGGCTTGAATGAACAAATGACAATTTTTTCCACTTATCTGATCTCAACAAATGTTTGTCAAGCAACAGAAATTCTGCCAGCACTGAGGGTATAAAGACAGATAATAAAAAATAATTATCATAGCACTGAGGGTGTAAAGACAAATAATAAAAAATAATTATCACAACCAAAATGTACTGAGAGTATATTATGTGCCAACACAATCTGAAGTGTTTTCCTGTGGGTGAAGTCATTGAATCCTCAAAATAATCTTCCAAATAAGGTACGCTTAGCATCTTATTATTCACATTTGCTGGGAGAGGAAATGGAGGTGGGGGGCAGGGAGGAGGAGCTTGCTCAAAGCCACCCAGGTAGTAAGTGACTGAACCAAGTTTCAAAGGCAGGCAGGCTCTGGGAGAGCTCCCAGCAATTGATGGTCATCCTCTTCCTCCCAAGTCTTTTCTTGCCACCTTTCCTCCTTGCCTTTCTCCACTCACTCCGTCTTGCTCTCCCACCTTGCCTTCAATACACCCTCATGCCAAGGACTCAATAGCAGAGCCTGCAAATTCCACGAAGATGCTACTGTTCATTGAGAGAGGTGTGGCATTTCCTTGGGAAATGGGGTGAAAAACAATAAAGATGCTTCTTATTGCCATTAATCTGGAACATTTCTGTTTTTCCTATAATAATTGCTTCTTATGAAATATTCCTACTATGTAGACATGTACAGAAAATAAACTAATGAATACCTGGCTGCCCACCTGATAATATTAACAAATGCTAGCTGGGTGTGTTAGTGCGCGCCTGTAGTCCCAGCTACCCAGGAGGCTGAGGTGGGAGGTGGAGGTTGCAGTGAGCCAAGATTGCACCACTGCACTCCAGCCTCGTGACACAGAGAGAGAGACCCTGTCTCAAAACAAAAACAAATGCTAACATTTTTCCATATTGGCTCCAAACCTTTTTTTTAAAAAAAAAAAACATTAAAGAAATTAGGGGTTACTGATATAGTCAAGAACCACTTTGTCCCTCTCCCCATCCCCATTTCCCTGTCTCCCTCCCCAGAGGTAAATGCCTATCCTAAATTGGTGAGTCCTCGCATCCTCTGGTTGGGGCTGGGGGGTACATACACCTACATTCTCAGGCTTCCTTGCTATGTTACAACTTCCCTGGGATTGCTCAGTGAGAGGTACTGTTAGGAGCCTGAAGGTATGGAGAAGGGAGGAGCCAGGCGCTTCTCTCACCCTCTCTCCCTGTCCCTTGACCTTGAGTGGCATCTCCAGTAGAAGTCACATTCCTCTGTGGGCCCAGCTTTTTCCAGGCAGACTCCACCTTGATTCTGTCTCCTAACAGACAAAGCTTCTGGGATGACGAAGCAGCTCTCTTTCTTTGACCCTCTTCCTTAGGGCCGGGTTCTCTTCCTGCTGCTGCTAAACTGCCTCATCGTCTCCTTTTGATAGTCCAGCTCTTCCATCATGTGTAACTGATCACTTATTATAACCAGTTATTTGAATCAAATATCCAGTATTTTAAAATCTTAGCCTAGTTTCTGTTCTCCTGGCTGGAACTTTGATTGGTGTACTTCCCATCTACATTTTTGTATTTTTAGTATATATGTACACATCCACACACAATCTCATAGACTAGGTGCTTTTAAAATGTATATAAAATGTATACAGTTGACACACAGGAAGCAATTTCAACCCAGAGCCCAGTAATATCTCTTTAGTGAGCATTTTGTGAAAATTTTCTTCTTCATGTGAATGTAATTAGGACTGACTTGATAAAAAGCTTAGGTTATAGGATAAAATAGTCGGGTTTCTACTGTGTGACTTTTTTTGGTTTCACTTGAATTTAATCAAATAGAGGTAAATTTTAAAAGCTAATATGGAGAAATGCTGTGTTTTAAAAAGCAACTTCTTAGTTATTCTGCTTTTTTGTCTTTGTAGAGAAGTCTTGCTCTGTTGCCCAGGCTGGAGTGGAGTGCAGTGGCATGATTACAGCTTACTCCAGAGTAGCTGGGACTACAGGCACAGGCCATGATGTCCTGCTAATTATTTTTTACAGAGATAGAATCTTGCTATGTTGCTGTGTTGCCCAGGCGGGTCTCAAACTCCTGGCCTCAAGTGATCCTTCCGCTTCTGCCTTCCAAAGTTCTGGGATCACAGGCACGGCCACCTCACCCAACCAGTTTTCTGATTATATTTTCAGCATTTATATCTCGAGTAATGAGAACCTTGCCAGCCTTAGGGTTCTCAATGTCACAGCTGTAACAAATACAATGACTCCATCCTAAAATTTATTCTCTATTTTGTCCCAATTCACTGGAAATAAAGCCACCATCAACATCAACTAAACCAAAGTTACCTACCATTTTGGGGGAGAGAATATAAGGTATATACTACAGGTGTGTGTTAAGTAACTCTTATGATAATGTGGGAACTTGCCTTATGGAGAGAAAGGAAGGGGAGCAACCACAGAGGGGAAGATGGTAAGTAAGGTCAGTGTGGAAAAGGGAGAGCTTGTCGTGGGAAGCAGGGAGGCATGGAGTGAGGCTCTTATGTTCCAAGTATTCTCTCCACTCACTGTCTCTTAAGAGAGGACAAATGGGTAGCAAGTACCATGGAGATTCTGGAATCACTGTGACTGTCCTGCCAGGTCCAGGTAGTCCAGAGGGCTAGACTTACCCTGCTGTATTTAAGAGAGATGTGGCAAATGCTGGCCAGATGATGCCAGACTAGAACGGGACCTAAAGGGATTTGGATCTCCCAGCCAGACTCCTTAATGCCTGACTATTGAGGGCTGCTCCAGTCATTTCAACAACCTTGCAACAACGCTGCATTTTACATGATTAAAAATTTGGACCCAGCCAAGCCTGGTGGTTCACACCTGTAGTACCAGCACTTTGGGAGGCTGAGGCAGGAAAATTGCTTGAGGCCAGGAATTTGAGACCAGCCTGGGCAACACAGTGAGGCTGTTGCTATATGAAATATTTAAAAATTATTTTGACTCTACTTACTGCATTATTGTGAGATTTAACTGCATATTATATTTAACAGATGAGAGAGGCTCCTATGGAAAAAGGTTTTCAGTAACATTTGAAAGGACCCTGAAGAGTAAAGATGGTTACAAATAAGACTTTTTTTTTTTTTTGCTTTAATGAATGTGCATGACTATAGAAATGTAAACTCTGAACATAAAAATATGCAAAACTAGGCCAGTGGTGGTGGCTTATACCTGTAATCCCAGCACTTTGGGAGGCTGAGGAGGGTGGATCACTTGAGGTCAGGAGTTTGAGATCAACCTGGCCAACATGGTGAAACAACATCTCTTTCCTTAATAAAAATACAAAAATTAGCTGGGCATGGTGGCACACACCTGTAATCCCAGCTACTCGGGAGGCTGAGGCATGACAATCGCTTGAACCGAGGAGGCGGAGGTTGCAGTGAGCTGAGATTGCCCCATTGCACTCCAGTCTGGGCGACAGAGCAAGACTCCGTCTCAAAACAAAAACAGCCAAACAAACACACACAAAAATAGGAGACAAACAAACTTGGACAAAGCCATTTTGCAATTTTCTTACAATCAAAAGAGCTTATTCATATCAGTAAGAAAAATCTAAGATGCCAAAAGGAAAGCTGGTACATAAAAATTGACCATTAAATGACATGAAAAATTATTCAGACTAGTAACAAAAATGCAAATTAAAATAAGCTTTTTTTTTTTTTTTTTTTTTACTGTCAAACCAACAAAATTTAGAAATAAAAGGAAAATCTATCTGGAAAGATACTAATATTAACAGGGTTTTTTTCAATGTTATATGGCAACAAGTTTATTTTTGTTATTCTTTTATATAATTTTCAAACTTTCCACCAATAGGAAATGCACTTTTACAATCAAGAGAGGCATTAAGGATTTAAAAAATAACAGAGATTTAACTCATTTTATGCATTCACTGGGAAAACCAAATGAAAAGGACACTTTTACTTGAAATTATTCTCATTTAACAAGCCTTTTAATTTTAGAAATACTATTCTGAATATACAATGTAGTGGAATTTGATTACATTTAATTTTAAATTATACCTAATTCGTTTTTCCTCATTTGTTGTCAGTGCTTTCCCAGAAATTTCATGAAAGTTTTGCACCCTTAAAATTTTATAGTGCTGCCTTCGCACTTTAGTTGGTTCAAAAACATCAGCCCCCAGATAATTTAGGGAGACCAAGAAGATTTTGGGGACCAAGAAGATTTTGACCATCACTAAAACATCACACAAGAGAGGTGCTTGTGCCCCAGGGCTATTGGCCTTGCTATTCTCACTGCCTGGGATGCTCAGCCCTCAGATATTAGAATAATTCTCTGACTTATATTTTTAATTTCCTTGCTGATTTACCATCTTCTCAGAGAGGGCTTTCTTCATCACCCTATTTAAAATTAACCCACCTCCTCTGATATTTCTTCTTTCCCTCTGTGCTTTCTTCTTCTTCCTAGCATTTGTTTATCAGTATGTCATATATTTTATATATTTGCTGTTTGCTTGCTTACCCTGTTTCTATCCACTAGAATGTAAGCTCTATGGGAGAAGGGATTTTGGTGTTTTGTTAATTCTTATATTCCCCTGCCTCAATAATATCTGTTCAATAAATGGATAGATGGAATGGATGGAACCATGGATGGATGGAGGGATGGAAGCATGGAAGGAAGGATAGAAGAAAGGATGGATGGATGGGATGATGGATGGATGATGTATGGATGGATGGATGGATGGATGGATGGATGGGTGGCAAGAGTTTTTACTCCAATTTTACTTTTTAACTCAAATTTCAGGTTAAAAAAAAACACCCTGAAACTAGATTCTTAATTGTTACAACCCATAATGCCTACTCACATAATCTGACGTAATTTTATGAAGAACTCTACAGCTAGTCATAAATTGCAGAGACTGTATAACATCCTTGAACTGGAACTGAGATCATCATTTTGGAGTTGGGGATGATATGTGGAAAATGTCAATCTTTAATTCATGATTGAAGTTTTACTTCTGTTCTCATTCAAGTATATTAGTGAGGGGTAAAATAGGAATTGCGGCACCACTCATATTCGATCCTTTTAATTCGGTTCTACTCCATGCTAGAAAATGGTGCGT